CAGGGCCACATCCCAGTTGCCTGCAGACCACGGCGGCCGCATGGTCATTCCAGTGGAAGTCGTAGCTGCACACGGTGCCCCACTGGCCCTCGTGCTTCACTTCCACACGTCCTGCACAGCGGCTGCCTCCGTCAACCAGACGCAGCTCCCCGGTGCCTGTGGGTGCCAACATGGGAGTGTAAAGGAGACACAGAGCCCCAGCATGGAGTGCCATGGGAAAAGGGTGCAGCCTGCCTTGACGGATGGCCTCGAGGACACTATTTCAGAAGTTCTTTAACCCCCAAGATTTCCACTCACTTCTCTGGCCATGGTCTTTGCCTTCAACCTCTGCCTGTGTGTGTGGAAATCTCTGTGGGAACAGCAGCACAGAAGGTGCAAAGCTAGGGCCCTATCCAACCACCAAATGCTCATCACTACTAGCAACGGAAACATGGACCAGGACATGTCTCCAGGCGATGTGCTCAGCACTGTGCCCAACGATCAAAAGCACATTTCCAATGGCAGCCCCGACCCTCATCACTGCCTCCCACCCTCGCCTTGAGGAGGAGTAACTCCTGCCCCAAGGAGCCCACAGGCACTCACCGCAGCAGAACTGCATGCACAGCAGCAGTCCCAAGGCCCTGGCAAGRAGCAGGCTATCAGTGTCCATCCTGTGTTTCTCCTGCCCTCTGGGACAGTCCCCAGCTCCCACTGCAGTCCTGGACCACTACCACTCYMGYRGTGGGGAGGGCAATATATAAGCAGAGACGCAAGCCCCACTGCCAGGGGAGCCAATCAATGCAAGCAACACCTTTTGAGACATTATCGGGAGGGTTATCTGCAGTCAGACGGAGATCCAACCTCCAATAAACTTCTCCATCCACACACATGCCCATATATGCGCCTCGGATCCACATCTCACATCNCCGTGGAGCCGGCAGCAGGTGAGAGGGGATGAGGGGTCCTCCCGATGCCTGAGGCTGTGTGGGGATTGGATGTGGCCCATGGTGCCAGGGAGCCTGGCACACATSCCTSAGATATGGACCATCCTCWGGTCAGGGCAGCATCTGCTGCAGTCCCCTGCATGTTTTGGGGTGCACATTGCCCCCATTGTCCTCAGCAGCCCTCCACATGAGCACAGGAGAACAGGAGCTGCCACTGGGATAGAAACTTCCAGGGCAGTACCAATTCAGGCCCATTGCGTGGCTCCATGGTACATTTTAAGGAAGGGCTTGACTCGTGGCATTGGTCTTCAGTTGGATGGAGGTGGTGCCCAGCTGCCTGCATGTGTGACACCTGTAGTGCAGAAGCCCGCATGGAGATCGAAGTTGCCCCACGGAGCTCCGAGATAGGAAGGAGGGAGCTGCTCTGCTGCACGCGTGACCCCACATGCAAGCAGCCGCAGCACGCTGAGTGCCACTGTTTGTCGGAGCACATGCATCTGCTGGGCTGCTGAACAATCTATTATCTCACCTCCTGCTTCTCTATCTGCTCATCCAGCTGCATTTAAAACTTATGATAATGCGAGACTTTGATGTAGTGGTACCTCTTTGCAGTGACACTGCYACAAAGAGCTGGAGCAAATCCAGARCTACCTAAGAGCTCTGGGGCCAAATTTGAGGGGCACAGGAGCCTGGTGGTGCTGTCCTGGACCCTGCCACTCTTGGGAGGACTGCGGGCATGCCACAGGTTCACTCCACTCCATGTGCAGAGCTGTGCACAGTTCTGCACTCCCCTGTACAAAGAGACCTGGAGCTATTGGAGGGAGTCCAGCACAGGGCTCTGAAGATGCTRAAGGATGGGATCACATGTTGTATGAGGGGAGGTGGAGAGAGCTGGGCCTGCTCAGTGTGGAGAAGTGCATCCTGAGGTAGTCCGTTCCACTAGTGAGTATATATATCAGAAGGGAGTGCGTGAAGGTTGGGCGCAGAATATTTTGAGTGATGCTCAGTGATGCCACCCCTGTGATACGGCAGAGTGAATGAAACTTTCACCCTGGTGCCAAGACTCCACACAGGCTTTTTTTATCTCTTTTTTTTTTTAATTTTTATTTCTTCTTAACAGGAAAGAGAGAAATGCACAGTGGAAGGACATTAAAGCTCAGGTAGCAACCAGAGGGTTGTGTGGGAGTTACAAAGAACGCAGCTCCCCTCCACGCTCCAGAGGCCCCAGC